TCCAGAGCCTTCTACATACAAGGAGGCTATTAGTGGCAATGAGGCTGCAAATTGGACTGTTGCGATGACTGAAGAGATATAGTCTCTTCACAAGAACCAGACATGGGAGTTAGTGAAGCCACCAAGGGGACAGAAGATCGTTGGCTGTAAATGGGTATTCAAGAAAAAAGAAGGAGATCAGGATACAGATTCTGTAAGGTACAAGGCACGCTTGGTAGCTAAAGGCTACAGTCAGACCGAAGGTGTGGACTTCAATGAAGTATTCTCTCCAGTTGTAAAACACACCTCAATCCGCGTGTTGCTTGCCGTGGTTGCTCATTTTAATTTGGAGCTTGAGCAACTTGATGTGAAGACAGCTTTTCTACATGGTGAGCTTGAGGAGCGGATCTTTATGCATCAATCAGAGGGTTTCATTGTTAAAGGTAAAGAAGATCATGTGTGCAGGTTAAAGAAATCTCTTTATGCGTTGAAGCAGTCTCCGAGGCAGTGGTATTTGAGATTTGATACTTTCATGATTGAGCATGGTTACTCTAGGAGTAAATATGATAGTTGTGTTTATCATAAAAAGCTCAATGATGGTTCTTTTGTGTATTTGCTTTTGTATGTTGATGACATGTTGATTGCAGCTAAAGATATGTCAGAAATCAATGAGTTGAAATCTCAACTCAAACATGAGTTTGAGATGAAGGACTTGGGAGCAGCAAAGAAGATTTTGGGGATGGAGATCCACAGGAACAGGCGAGAAGGAAGTTTATTCCTATCTCAGGAGAAATACATTAAGAAAGTGTTGGAGAGATTTGGCATGCTTGATTCCAAGCCTGTGAAGACTCCGCTTGCCGCTCATTTTCGTCTTTCAGCAGATTTGTCACCTCAGACTAAGGAGGAGGAGCAGTACATGTCTTGTGTTCCTTATGCGAGTGCAGTTGGAAGCATTATGTATGTGATGGTTTGCACCCGTCCAGATATTTCACATGCAGTCAGTGTTGTAAGTCGGTACATGGATAAGCCTGGAAAGGTCCATTGGCAGGCTGTGAAATGGATACTTAGATATTTGAGAGGATCTGCTAATATTGGTTTGTATTTTGACAGGAACACAGACTCATATTGCAGAATACTTGGCTATTCTGATTCAGATTATGCGGGCGATTTGGATAAGAGACGATCCCTGACAGGTTATATATTCACTCTTTCAGGTAGTGCCATTAGTTGGAAGGCGACTCTACAGTCGACAGTTGCTTTGTCTACCACAGAGACAGAGTACATGGCAGTGGCAGAAGCAGTGAAAGAAGCCATTTGGTTGAGAGGTTTGGTTGAAGATCTCGGCTTACACCAAGGTGTTACTACGGTATTTTGCGATAGCCAGAGTGCTATACATTTGATGAAGCATCAGATGTATCATGAAAGAACCAAACATATAGATGTCAGGTATCATTTCATCAGAGAAATTAAAAGTCATCAGGATTGAGAAGATTGGTACTGTAGATAATCCAGCAGATATGATGACAAAGTCCGTACATTCGCGCAAGTTCGAGCATTGTCTCGAACTGCTTGGAGTTTAACAAAGCGAAGATTAAGCCCGTAAGGGGCTTCTGGTGAGACAGCAAGAGTAAAGAGAAGATCTTCATTTTCAAAGTCAATGTGGAGATTTGTGAGAAACGTGACTTTGAATTTTGTCTTCATTTACCTAACTCTTGTGATGTTTTGTCAATCTTTGCAACGCCAGATCACTTCCTCACCAACCCCTTTGTATATTTTATTATTTTTTATGGCTATATAAGGGGGATGAGGGGAGATGGTTTAATGCATCAGTTGGAGAGAAACAAAATATTTAGAGAAAAGAAGAGAGTTAGAGAGAAGAGAGTGAGATAGAAAGAATTTGTCTCTTTCTTTGTGTGAGTCTCTGGCAAGAGAGTGATCTCCTCTTTGTAATCTTCTCGTTGGTGATTAGTGAATTTCTCTGCTGTTCTCGTTCGTGGACGTAGGTCATACTAACCGAACCACGTTAAATCTTTGTATCTGTAAAGCCCCTCCGCTACAATAGGTGAATAGTTCCCCTAACTTTCCTTCACCATTATTCCCCTCAATCCAAACAAGCGTTAAGGAAAACATTTTTCTTTAACTGGTTAATGCAATTAATTTTCAGATATCACTCATTTTCGTCTTTCAGCAGATTTGTCACCTCAGACTGAGGAGGAGGAGCAGTACATGTCTCATGTTCCTTATGCGAGTGCAGTTGGAAGCATTATGTATGCGATGGTTTGCACCCGTCCAGATATTTCACATGCAGTCAGTGTTGTGAGTCGGTACATGGATAAGCCTGGAAAGGTCCATTGGCAGGCTGTGAAATGGATACTTAGATATTTGAGAGGATCTGCTAATATTGGTTTGTATTTTGACAGGAACACAGACTCATATTGCAGAATACTTGGCTATTCTGATTCAGATTATGCGGGCGATTTGGATAAGAGACGATCCCTGACAGGTTATATATTCACTCTTTCAGGTAGTGCCATTAGTTGGAAGGCGACTCTACAGTCGACAGTTGCTTTGTCTACCACAGAGGCAGAGTATATGGCAGTGACAGAAGCAGTGAAAGAAGCTATTTGGTTGAGAGGTTTGGTTGAAGATCTCGGCTTACACCAAGGTGTTACTACGGTATTTTGCGATAGCCAGAGTGCTATACATTTGATGAAGCATCAGATGTATCATGAAAGAACCAAACATATAGATGTCAGGTATCATTTCATCAGAGAAATTAAAAGTCATCAGGATTGAGAAGATTGGTACTGTAGATAATCCAGCAGATATGATGACAAAGTCCGTACATTCGCGCAAGTTCGAGCATTGTCTCGAACTGCTTGGAGTTTAACAAAGCGAAGATTAAGCCCGTAAGGGGCTTCTGGTGAGACAGCAAGAGTAAAGAGAAGATCTTCATTTTCAAAGTCAATGTGGAGATTTGTGAGAAACGTGACTTTGAATTTTGTCTTCATTTACCTAACTCTTGTGATGTTTTGTCAATCTTTGCAACGCCAGATCACTTCCTCACCAACCCCTTTGTATATTTTATTATTTTTTATGGCTATATAAGGGGGATGAGGGGAGATGGTTTAATGCATCAGTTGGAGAGAAACAAAATATTTAGAGAAAAGAAGAGAGAGAAGAGAGTGAGATAGAAAGAATTTGTCTCTTTCTTTGTGCGAGTCTCTGGCAAGAGAGTGATCTCCTCTTTGTAATCTTCTCGTTGGTGATTAGTGAATTTCTCTGCTGTTCTCGTTCGTGGACGTAGGTCATACTAACCGAACCACGTTAAATCTTTGTATCTGTAAAGCCCCTCCGCTACAATAGGTGAATAGTTCCCCTAACTTTCCTTCACCATTATTCCCCTCAATCCAAACAAGCGTTAAGGAAAACATTTTTCTTTAACTGGTTAATGCAATTAATTTTCAGATATCAATGCCAGTAGAGGAACATTTTTTAATTTCTTAACCCACCCACTCAAGCAACTACAATAATAAGTAAAAGGTACAGACGTTCCGACCAATGAAGATTGCCAAAACTGTCAACCTCCTCATTTCCTACTCAGCAAACAGCAACTTCTCTTGTAAAAGTTAACGTGTCCGTCTCTCAGCGCCCTTCTCCAACTATTTCCTGTTCGAATGGACGCACCCTAAACCGACAAGCCCCTGCCTCCTTTCCATATTTTCTCATTTTGGAAAGTTCTCTCTGACCCTACTCAATTGGCGCCTCAAACACTCAATACCCAGCCATTAATAACCTCCGCCCTTTTTTTTTTTACTTTCCGTGATGAGATGATGAACAGAAAAAACCCTAGCCTCTTCAAATCCAAACAAAAACCCTAATTCATCGCTCCATCTCTCTGTAACAATTGTAATGGCGAGGTCCAGCGATTCACCGCCTACATTGCCGACGAAGGAGGCGATCGCAGCTCTGCTTGAGTATTTCGTCGCTCCTCTCCTTCCGCTCACCGACTTTGGTGATGAGCCGCCTGATGATCAGCAGCAGGAAAATGTTGCAAAACAGGTAACTTTCTTGAGATTTGCTACAAAGCTTTGCTCTTTTTGAGTTTTTTTTTGAAAAATGATACAGGCACACCTCGGCCACACCACCGACCACACACCTCGCTACAGTGCAGAGGACCCCACTTGAGATTTTAAAAAAAATCTCAAGTGGGCCCCTGCACTGTAACGAGAGGGGCTGTGGTCGGTGGTGTGGCTGAGGGCGTGTCCGTAGCGTCACCCTTTTTTGTTTGTGGGTTTATGTTTTATGCTGTAGGAGTTGAGGCTTAATGTTTAGTTTTTTTTCTCATGTTTTTGGAGCGACGACGATGTGATGAACGAGTTAGAACCCGTTCTGTTTTGATTTTGTCTGGAGTTGTCCCGAGAGTTGGAAAAATGGTTCCTTTGATGATTGAAGGTGGCGGGACCCAGTAAAAGATCTTGAAGGAATTGTACATTGTCCATAGTGATTGGAGGGCATTTTCGTATTTTTATATATAATGTGATTCCCGCTTCCCTACAGGAGAATAGGACGGGGACTGCCTGTGGTCCGCCTGTCCGAAGGGCTGGGATGGAATGGGGTGCGCCGGAACAGGACAGGACTGACCCTTCATGGTGGGGTCGACAGAGTGGGCCAGGGGTTCCAGTCTACCCATGTACCCATCCCATACAAGCCTCGGGGCAGGATGGGCCTAGCTTGGGGGCGGGTATTTACATTGTGTTACATTGTTTTCTACATTTCTTCAAATGTTTATTGCGGACTAAAATATCAGACTGATCTAAAAGCTGATATCGCTTTTACCGCTCTAGCCTAAAAATTGATGCCCACGACACTCTAGTCTAGAAACGAATATCGCGACAAATAGGCTTATCCTATTGCTGGAGATAATTTTCAAGTGAAAAATTAATAGATTTTTTCATATAAACCCTTCAACCTCCCATACGTATTAACCCCGTTTCCCCCTTTGCATAGTTTAAAGTTTATTAAAAAAAAACCTCCCTTTCTACCATCTCTTCCCTCATCCTTCATATCATCTTCTCCATTCTCTTCTCCATATTCTCAACTTGCCTTCCACTCTCCCACTCATTCTCCCTCCTTTCTCATATCCTCACTCTTACATTATCCTTCACCCTCCGTTCTCTTCTCCTCCCAATCATCAACCTCCCTTCCTCTCTCTTACTCCCTCTCCTTGTTCCTCTTTCTTTCTCTCACTTTCTGTTCCTCTCTCTCATTCCCTCTTCCTCCTTGCTCCGCCCACTTCTAACCTCCAACATTAACATTCTACTAAGAGAACATCCTTCTCCTTTTCCTCTCTCAGACCCAATATCAAACATTCAGAGAGAAGTTAAAGAAAGTTAATAAGATGTGAGGTTGAAGAAAGAGGGATAGATGAGGTAAGAGTGGAGATATGGAAAAGAAGGGAGAGAGCGGTGTTTTCAAAGGCACCCGCCTCACTGCGCCTCATACGCCCTACGATGTGGGTAAATAGCGTAGCGCCTCGCATTTGATGCAGTAGCGCCTTCTACGCCTCGTAAGTGACACGTGCTTCACTAGGGCGTACGCTAGACATAGCTTCGCCTAGCTTTGTTCTTTAACATTTCAATTGGGTCTTTATACCCGATAACCCATAACACATACCAAAAGGCAAAATAAAATCGTTATGCCTTAATAGTAGTCCGATTGAGGACCATAAGTTTTGCTTCAATATTAGTCTTGAGTTTTTTATTTGAAAGTTTATGAACTTCACTCCATGTTGGTTGTGTTAGCATTAGATTTTAAAACCTATTTTTTGTGATTTCATAGTAGATATTATTGATCTTGACATATTTTAATGTGAAAATAAATAAACATCTTTTTTCGTGCTTGATTACTTATCTTGAAAAATTATGCGTGGTGTGCGCCTCGCTTCACTCAGGCGGGTGCATCGCGTTGTGCATTACGCATGTGCGTGAAGATACTTTACGCCTTGTATTGTGCATTGTGCATTGATAACATTGGGAGAGAGTGGAGGAGATGAACGGATGAGCTAGAAAAGAATGGAGGAGATGATGAGAAGGAGGAGAGAGGAGATGGTGGGAAGGGAGGGATAGAGAAGCTTTTTACATCTTTTAAAACTTGAAGGGGTATATCCAAAAAGTATGAGAGATTGATGGCCTATATAAAGAATTCTTAATTTTTCGCTTAAAGTAATTGAAAATTCAAGTTTTTGGCCTGATAAGCTTACTAGTCGTCATATTTGCGTGTTTTTAGGCTAGATTGTCGTCGACATCAGTTTTTAGGCTAAAGTGGTAAAGTAGTGTTAGTTTATAAATCAATTTGGTAATTGGTATTTCACCCATTTATTGTGTATTACACTGGGTTAAAGAAATTAGAATACTAATGTAGTATTTGCCAAATTGTTGTTTATATGACGTGTTCTACATAGGCTTAGAATACCGAAATAATAATTGCAAAATATTTAAAAAATACATTTTAAAAGCGGTAGAAATATATTTAATTAATTAACTTGACTAAGTGGGCCTACTTGTATGCACTACTTTCAACTTTCGTAGGTCACAGCTGCCGGGTGAGTTAAGACCGTGTTAAAACAGAATAGGTAACACAATTTAGCAAACTAAGGGATGGCTAGCCTTGTGCCTTGGCCCAGCTAGGTTGTAGGCCGATTATCCATCTATTGAATATGGCATAATTGAAGCAATTCAAGTCAAATCCTAAATTTCTAGTTTAATTTGGATTGGAAACTTGTTCATAAAGACAAGATAAGTGGAATTGAATTCTAATTGAAAAGAGCTTGGGATTTGAATAATCCTACTCAAGCACATTATGAGAAAGAAATCCTATGAGATTCATATTTGTCAATGGTATCATGAAAAGAAATTCTACATGTATTCAACACAAGAGAAAACAATCCATAAATATTCATTACAACACCACCTCATTATTCTCAATACAACACCACCTCATTATTCTCATCACACAGTTATTATCGGTTGATTATTTCCCTTTCTCCCTTAACAACATAGCTTCCTTAGCCCTTGAGAGCAAGAGCCCATACATGTTCCATTATGGAAAGTCTGATCCTTTACATTTGCCTCTGGAAATTTTCAGTTGTGTTCGTTCTGCGCATGATAATGGTCCAATTAGAACAAAACTAGGTCCTAGATTTCAAGATCACTTTTTATTTTCATCATCACAAAACTTCTTTAGTTTAATCAACACTATGACTAAATAAAAGAGAAGATCATTAATGTTTGCGTCGAAAGTTGGTTTATTCATGAAACTCATTACAACTTTAATCGTTTACAACAAGTTCAAAAGAGTTAGTCTTTTTATAAGACTTTTCTTACACGAATAAAAAAAACTAAAAATACAACTATCTAGAAACACACGCAGAGGATGTTTATCACCCGCTGCTTGCGTGAGATCTTTGCCTGTGCCGGGGACGTGTTAGTCCGTGGACTGTCACGGATCAGATTCGGTTGACAGAACGAGAATTCAATGCTCTTGCTTTCTAAAGGAAACAATCGTAGAAGTGATAATCTCAACAAAGTGAGATTACAACTCTTCTCGAGATCAAAACCAAGTTTGATCTCAAGGAATGGTGGAACGGGTTTTAGATCTCTCGAAATCCACTCTTTATGCACATGAATTCGCCAAGAGCTCGTTAGCCTCTCAAATTCGTCAAAACCTCACCCTAGCTTCTCTGAAATTCGTGGCTTTCTTCAAATCTGCCTTTATGAGGGTGCTAGGGGTGTATTTATAGATTTTAAATGTCGTGTTTGTGGATAGGACCGAAGAACAACCGTTATTATCCGTTTAGGTGGGTTTCAGTTGTGTAATAGTTTCCACACGTTTAAGGATAACCTCACATGTTTATGGATCACCCCAAGGAGTTCTAGAAGCCAATCTTATCAGAAAACACATAGGGAGCTGACCTGGGCGCGAGTCACTTCGAAGTGACTCGGAATTTTCGAGTCACTTTGAGGTGACTCGGAATTTCCGAGTCACTTTGAGGTGACTCGGATTCTCCGAGACAGTTTGTACTGTCTTTGGTATTTTGACTTTAATTCTCTCGTCCGACTTCGGAATAAAGTGATTCAAAATACGCTGGAAAGCTGACGAAGAGAGCTACAACTTTTGTCTTTTGAGATTTTTCAGATTCAAATCTTATCATGGTCAAAATTTTACTTCTTCGTGCGGATCAGTCTAGAGTGACCCGCACGTGTGCAAGCCACCTTGAGCCCTCCTGATTGTATTTGTTTCGTCGTTTCACATATTTCGACATTTCACGTGCGTTCCTTCGCTTTTTTTACAGCATCGGATGATCTTCTTTGACTTGGATAATCCTCTCTGACTCGGATAATAGCGTTCATCGTCTTCTTTCTGTTTCGAACTACGTGCAAGAACCTATAGATAATTTTTAACGCCTACAAATACCTTCTCCAAAGTATTTTAGGCTCATTCTTTTATAGAGTAGCCTAAAATACTTTGGGTATGATAGACCCAGCCTTCAATTCTTAGACTTCTTCATCTTTTAGTCTATTCAGTATTTTGTCGAATAGCTGAAATTCTCCCGGTGTTGCATTTATCGTCTGATCGTTATCGAAATCTTGAATTGGAACTGGAGTGTTGGTTTCTAAATTAGCTCGTGTTTCTGGATCGACGTTGAACTGATCATCTTCGTTGGGAATTCGTGTCTGAATCACGATTGAACTCCCGGGGATTATCTTTTGACCTGGAATTTTTCTGAGCCTTATTTTGGCGAATCTATCGCTGCGTTGATCGGCATTGACCTTCATTGTAACGTGTTGCCTAGCGTTAACACAGTTTATACTCGTACGTTTACTGGAGTCTATACAGTTTAAGCTCGACCGGTGTTGTAACGCGTGACAGGCCCAAGTGTAGAGGTTACAGGACCAACTGTTGATGCTGGTTAATCTGCAGGTATGAATCTTTCCCTTACGTCCCGCTAGTTATTTGCTTAACCATAGGGGAGTTTTTATTGTAGGATCAGCTATTGGAGCTGATACGACTACCATTATGAATGCTTTAAAGGTTCCTTATGGAGGCTTTGGCTAGAATTGATGTTTTCCTGGATGCTTAAATCACGAGACCAACTGATGAAGCTGGTGCGTCAGTGGCTATCGTACTTATAGGATTTTTAGCAAACCCTCAGTCATTAACACTGTTACAAATAACGATAAATAGCCCCGCAATAGCGACGCTAATAGCGTTAGTGGTTCCTTACCGCTACGCTATCGCTGTTAACGCTATCGTCCAATAACGGTGACATTGTGGAATATGTGTTTTTCGTTCACAAAAGCAGTCAATAGTGTGCTATAATGGTAAATAGTGGGCGATTGCATACAAAATCCGCTTTTTGACTGCTATTTAAATGCGGTTTGAGGTTTATTTTTTAAAAATTAAACTCGACCCTTGACCATTGCATTCCATTGTCTCTTGTGATTTTCGGCATACTCTCACCACCTCTCATAACCTCTGGTACTTATCTCAGTTCTTCCTCTCACCTCCTTCACCGTGAGCTCCTTTTAAGACATCCTCTCACTACTCCGCTCTTTTTCTCGAAGACGACTTTTTGACTCTCTTAATCATCTTCGCTATTATATGATTGTTACATGTCTATTACATATTTAGGATCTCTTTAAATCATTAAATATGTACTTTTAGATTTTTTTAGATTTTTCTTTAATCTTTTTTTAGTATTTAGTATTTACATATATCTAAATTAGACCGCTATTTGACTAAGCGTTTTTTACCGTTATTTTGCCATAATAACTCCAAATAGCCTTAGTGATGTCTCACCGCTACGTAACGCTATCCGCTATCGATAATCTTGGTCATCAACGGATTTGATAAGTTTCTACCGACTATCGTTTGAGTCGGGCTAGCATGCAGATTGTCTAAGTCCATTTCGCATGTAACGTTATTCTAAAAGAGTTAACTCTCTTAGACTTAGTGTTATGATATTAAATACATAGATTTTGTCACTGTTACGGGAATAGGCTACCCGACAACGCGTGTTGGGCGTAGATTTGAACAATCCTTCGATCTCGGGTTATCCTTAAGAATATTATGTGTAATATTCTCTAGGAACTTCACGTTAAAAATAAAGGAAGCAGTTTATTCTCATATACCCGTTGGAGGTTGGGGAAATAGTTTATACTCGTATACCCGTTGAAGTATGAGAGCAGTTTAATCTCATATACCTGTTGGAGGATTTCGTTCTCATTTAGCTTATTTTGCCATCATGATAACGGCGTTAACCAAGGATTGAATGCTATTTTTCAGAGTAATACAAGCCTTGATGGGGTGATGACACCTCCTGTGATATGCATAATACTTCGGATCCGAAATCTTGTTTGCTTCCTCATGATTTGTAATCGGTGGTAGCTTGATTTTGTTGTTGGTGAGGACGTACTTGAAGATGACTGTAATTTCATCATCTTCAAAAGAATGCTCCTCCTGGAACTTCGGATTAAGAGTCCCTTGTTGCCTCCAAGGTTGCTGTTG